TAGGGGAGGGGCAGAATCTGAAATACCCTAGAAAATTTCAGGTTACAGACGACGACGGCGGTCATCTGCAGTCCAGCTAGTTACTTTACTAACAAAGTCTTAGAGCCCTGCTCTTCTATGACTTTGTTACTAAAGTAACTACAGTCCGCCTGTGAATACAGCAACTTCAACGTGGTCCTATAATGTCTACCTTAGGTGGCTGACCAGAATCCCAAACAACCAATCAATCGTCGATGGTTATGAGGGCCTCACCCTCCCCAAGAAAATTTTGAAAATTTAACTGCCATGTTTTTCTGCTTTTCTAGCCCGTGAGTTAAGCAACTTCAAAGTCCCACAAAGTAGGGTGGCTCCAGACAAAATCCACAAATTTGTGGTATTCAATTAAAAGAAAAGTAAAATTAGTGTTTTATTACACTTCTGGCACTTTGTTTTGCCAACTAGATGAATAATAATTTTTGTTTTCACTTTACCCGTCTGCTTGAAAATTAAGAGTTAAATCTGCCAGTCTTTTGCAGGTCTTTTTTCTGGCTTCAAATGTTATATATTATCATATAAACATTTATTAACATGACAAGCCCATAATCAACTTCCTAGACCAATGGGTGACTCTGATTTTAGGCAAATTATAACACGTTGACCATTTAAAACAGATAATAAGGACTTACTATCAATTGTCAAGTACCGTAACTACATGTACGTCAATAGACAATCTACGCTACATTTTGTCAAAATTTTAAAATATTTGACTGAAATTTTCAATTTATTCATTATCCATTTTGAACTATTATATCAAGAACAGCCAGCCCTTTATCTATTTGTTACATAAAGCAGCTTTAATCCCTCCAAATTCAAAGGTATAAGAAAATATCTAGGAAGGTAGAAAATTCTCTTGACAAAAATACAAATTTGTGTAAAAGTATCTGGACAATTAAGATTACCAAATCAACTGACCTAGTCATAGAGTTTGTATATTCTGCTACATGCACATCTGCTACACAAACTATATGCTAGTGTTAGTCAAAGACACACAATTTATACTACCAATAATGTTCTGAATAAAATATCACAGCATGTCCATGTGCTTCTGGTTTCCCATATTAACACTTTCATCAGCTGATAATAATAACTATGGCAACATTGACAACAACTACTCTAGATCTAAAAGGAAAATTTAATTCTAAACATGGTATTAACCAGATCTTTTATATATATTTATAAATAAGATGAAATGAAGTTTAAGTCTGATTTTTCTGCACCGACTAGGCTAATGAAGACAAACATATGGCATGCTCTGTGTTATGAGGGAAATTTTGCCTGGACACATCACTACAGCCTACTCTTATATCGTATCAAATTCCAACTGTGAAGGGTTCTTTATACGTGCACACCAATGTGTACACAGGACCTCAGTTTTTTTGTCCCATCCAAAGGACTAGACAGCTGTCCTTCTCAGGCACTGTCCTGCACAAATGACAAGGGGAAACCACGAAGAAAATCCTAAGAAATTATGTCAGCCAACACAGGGAGCAAACACAAGAACTCTAGGCTAGCTAGTCAACATTTTGCTCAGTAAGCCAACATGGCTCCTATTTCAAAAATAAATAGATATACACTAATTATATATAATTCAATGTAAAGAGAGAGAGAGAAATGGGGTTCAACGTCCACTCGACACAAACTAGGTCATTTCGGCCTAACATATGGTTTAATTTTATTTCAATAATTCGCTTGCGCGTAGGGGCCTTTAGCAGTGGGAGGAAACCGGAGGACCCGGAGAAAACCCACGAGGTTGGACAGGCGACCCTTCTCCTTGTCACGTACATCCGGGGATTCGAAACCACGGCAGTCGACTCAATGACAGACTTATGATACAGCGCGCGCACGCTAACCATTCAGCCATCACCCCCCCCCCTCAGACTGTTGTTATTAAATACTTAAGCATACTTGAGTATAATAAGACTGTCCTGACAAAACAGTTGTCTTGTACGAAACCGGTAGTACAATTATTAGTAATATAATGTATTAAAGAAACTTTGATTGGGTATGGTCTTAAAGTCCATATTTAATATTCATTTCTGTAGCCTAAGATGTATTTTTTATTCATTAAAATACTCAAAAATTATATAAAGTAGAATTGAAATTTTTTCAGACTGTTCTTCATTACATAAAAATGAGTATAATTTATAGGAATCCCTAAATACTGACCTTCAATGTTCATTTACTTTTTGATTAAGATAATGCAGACAGTCGTGAATACAGAGTTTCTAGATATGTTGAAACTAATTGAAGCTCATTTCCATGCTACAATTTTTTTTATTTTATTGTCTATAGTGCAGTTTTTGTCTGTGCTATAACATATTATAGCTCATGATCAGCAGCACATTGTTGTTGAAATTCATGTGCTTTATTTCAAGGCATTATTAGATTAGAAATTGATATAAGGAAGGTTTTGAATTAAAAATAAAATATCTCAGAAACTATTTAGCATTTCTGTCATGAAGGATCTGTTTAGAACAGAACAGTATTGATGGTCAGTATCACACCCCTGGGCCCTGTTTCTCAAAATCTTATTAACTAAAGATAAAATCTAAATTTTAGCAGATACTTCAATTTTGATTGGCTAAGCACTAACATCAATCTGATTATCCAATCAAATTACTAAAATTTGGATTTTATCTTAGATAGAATTTTGTGAAACAGGCCCCTGGATTACAGAAACATTTTCATGGCATACATGTACCTTTATTCAGTCAGCCTCACAGAGGTAAGTACATATACCTGTATGACCTGTGCTGGGAAGGCATTAATTTCTTGTATCATGTCAGTTCAACCTAGGTCATTTGTAACACCTGACACTATTTTGCTGGGGGAACATCTGTGGACTTGACATGTTCCAGTGGTGCCATTGGTACATTTACACACATTACAATGATTTGTCATTTTGTATTTTGATTGACTTGATGTTGAATGTTATTGTTCTTTAGTACTGGTGGTGCTATCTTTTATCTATAATATTATTATGATGGTGTATGCTAATAATATAATGTATGACACATGATTATATTGATTGATCTTTATCACATGATTGTTATCTCTGGTGTTATATAGGTCTAAAGTGTAGCCCTAATGTAGCTACAACACAGTGCAATCAAAAATTTAAATAGCCCTCCTTCCCACCACATAAAGTTTTTAATCTATTGGCCGTTATATTGGTAATCTGGAGTCCTTATAGACCCTAACAGGAGATTGGGTGAAAACACTAAGGGATTAATCCACCCACTTAAAAAAATAATAATCCACCCATCATTACAATTCTAAATAGTATTTATGACCCTTTTCTCATGCCCAAATCACAAAGCGATAACATAATACATTCAAACAAAGGACTGTGCACCCATTTGGATAGTCAGTATAACCTTACTTAATAATTAAGTAAAGTAACGTAATGTAATGTCCTTTAATACATCTCCACGTGAACAAAATACACATACTTAATTCTCTAGTATAAAACTCAAATAAGGATGCTCAATCAATGAATCTGGTGAATAAAATAGATACTTACTATAACATTAACATGGTACTTAAAATATGACAATTAATCTTTCAACACTGTATATATGTAATACATCATTACACTACAACAACATATAATTACAAAACAAAGTTGCAGACAGGAAATCCCTTCCGTCATTAATCACGTGACCGGGGATTTCCTTACTACACATCGACACAATAAACACTCAAAAATCGATGAATAAATTTAGTAAGTCAAGTAGTAAGTATATTGTGTCGGTACAATCAACTGGATACAGTAAGATTCCATTTCAAAATGCCCTATTATTATTATTATTAGCCTATTTACAATCGCAGACATTACAGATAACCCAAATTAGCCAGGGCAGTGTCACATCAGCTTAAACGGGTACACAATTATAACTAGAAAAGCATGACGTTAAACCCCATTTCATTCATTCAATGAACTTTCGTTGTCTCAGACCGGAAGAATGTTGTATTTAATAATAATCCGTCAGTTTTACGCGAAAAATGAAAAGTTACAATATCACAGCAATGGGCCTAGACTGCACTGGCAATCACCACATCAACCCCTTAAAGTCCCAACCCATTTGCAAATAGAAAATCTTACCCGAACGCATTGCTGTTGGTTTTTTTTGGGGGGAGGGGGGGCAGTTTTAAAGTGCGATAGGGACGGTCATTGGGTGTGTCAAGCTGAGGGTTATTACCAAAAGCTGTTCTAAGCGAGATATCATATAGCTGGCAATGATTTATTTCCACTCAATTTAATTAATTATGGGGGAATAAGTACAATAATTTAGTTCAGTTTACTTAACGCTACCTGCTGATATACCTGCAAGCCAAAGGTTTGGGCCATTTTAAAAGATAGATATTTTATTACATAAAACACCATTTCTGGGCAACATGTAAATTATACATTATGCCATTACATTACAGATAAAACATTGAGATGCTTGATACCAACTTGCACATATTAAGTGCTCAATGGTTTAATAATACTTATAATGTAAATATATCAAAATAATATATGGTCAAGAGCAAAATCCCAAGGCAGAGATACAAAGCTTTGTGGATATAAGTTTCAAAGAAAAAGGGTAATGGTCTGGTAATATTGATTTAATCTTTCTTGTTTCTCTTTATTTATTTTTTTTTTTTTTTTGTTTCTTTTGTGTGCTTATTTGCATTGACTGTGTGCTCTATCCAGAGACTGATTCTTTTATGTTTTGTTGAGCAGTTTGACTAAATATTCTACAAAATCAACACAAAAGGTCGACCTGCTTAATATCTGTTTCAATAGATTTTAGAATTGTGTTAAATGGGAATTAAAAAGTCAGAAAACAGAAAAAAGATCAATCTTTATACGTACTTGTTCACAAAAAAAACAGTCCTGAAAATGTAAACCATAAAACAAATATATAAATACAAGGAAGTGTACAACTATATAAATACACTTCAATTTAACTTACTTGCTTATATAGTTACATGTCATATTCTGATGAAGGTCATGTATTAGAAAATTCGTCTTTCCAACTTCATTCATCTTTAGATGTGATCCCAATTGAGGCACACTAGAAACCACAATAATCCCTTTTAGGAGAATACACCACAGTTTCAAATCCAATCGCCGTAAAACAGGATAAAAATTAATTTGAAAACGTTAATTATTATTCGGAATAACAGCTTTTTTTAAAAAGGAAATCCAACACACAAAACGTAATTACCAAATAAAGCGAATGAAAAACCGACTGCGCTAAAACTCAGAATTCAAATTGTTGGTTCAACCCCACACTGCACTGAACTCGTAACGGCTAGAACAGTAGCCTACAAAAATCACATGTGACTGTTAGTAAACAGAAAAGTCAAGTACATATATGTATACTCAATTCAAGTGCGATCACCAATGAAAACCTTTAATAACCAAATCTGAACTCCATCCAATCTGGACATCATAAAGCGATATTTAAGAGCGTCGTTCCATGGCATGAAATGTCAGGTTCGTGAAAACTGAATCGACTGTAATATAGTTAGGAACTTAGGATGGAGAGTGAGAATAACTCGAATGCTTTAAGCTCTACATGTGGTTTTCACAAAGACACTACGACCTCATTCCCAAGCAAAACTTTTCTCATCACACATGAGTCAGTCCGTCATGCAGCTTGTTTTAACTTGTTGGTAGTATAAACTGAGACTGTTTGGATATGGGTCTGAATATGGTCGTCTGCTAGGTCGTTCTGACTGCCAGCACGTGCAATTGATTGACAGAGGTCAATTTCTGCCAAATATAGACAGCGAAGACATAATAGGCAGCTGGTTATATCATTTATTAAAGCTATTATCAGTTTGTCTTCATTCTCTTATCTGACCTCTTCTGTTCAGAACAGTTTACATAAATCATTGAAATTTACAGGCACGTACGTCTGGCTTCCTGAAAACTTTGGTGATCTCTTTAGTCCTTTGGAACAAACGAGTGTTGACATAACTGCTGGAAAGATATTAAATGTCAAAATTGTAGTTAGTTACATGCTGAACTCTCGGAAAGGTTAGAAATATGACTCTCGCAAGTTTGGCTGTTATCTTGAGAATTTGCTACTGTTACGTCCTTTACATGAATGGAACTTAAAGCAACATTATTACTTCCATCCCCCAAAAAATAAATGTCATTCATAATATCGAAAATTTCATCCCTTGCCCACTCGGCAAATGAAAGATTCATAAAATGAATCATGTAACTTATGTATCTCAGGAATAGACTTGCAGATTTGTCTGAATATTTGAATAAAATCAGACATGCTGAACACTAAAATCACGTGAACATTAGTTTTATACCTACCGTCGAAGATCTCCAAAGTGTCAGCCCTTGAAGTTTCCTTTTAACATTTAAAAAAGAGTCGTTTTTAATCTGTATGTATTAAATCCACACCACCTGTCATTCTAATGTAACGTTTGATATACCAATTGCAATGATACTTGTAATGTTCCAAAATATAAAACACCGAAACGTTAAGTTTTTTTGTCATTAGAAAATAGTGTTCAAGGGGAGAACTATTTTAAAGTCGCTTGATGACATTTTTATAAGCCCACATTTCACTGTGGGCATTCACTGTGGGCATATTATGTTGTCACCTATGTCCGTCCAACTAAACATACTTTATTATATATAATATATGCTCGCGGAAAAGGCTAGCAGATTACATAAAAGTAAATGAACTTTCTAGAATAAGCTAAAAACGTGGTACAAGGATGTGTCGATCAATCCATTAATTGAAGAGTGAACATACAAGTTTCTTAGCAACGCTTATTTCGATATTATATAACTATCCGTTTCCACATATTATATATTGTTGAGAATGTGATACGAACAAACAATATGAAAGTCAATTAAAAGCTGCCCTTCCTTTTTTAGAATTAGACTTTAGAGTTAAAGAGTTAATTTCCAAGAGAGTTTAATTGATCGTCATCGTCATGTGTGTTCTTAACACACCAAGGGTTATCTCCCATCAAATACGAGGGTTTTTTTTGGATATATTGATCAATTCGGGGAACTGATTAACAGAAGGAAAGGGATTGGAAGTTCAAACAAAACGACTATCCTATTTCTGGACATAATGCCGGTAAAATTCGCAGTGGGGTGCGGGAGTGAGTGGGGGGGGGGTTAAAACCAGGACAACTCACAAGGATCTACAGACGACCCTTCTCGTTGTCATTGGGTCGAAAACACAACAGAACTATTAATCTTTAAGAGGCATTTAGTAACTGATAGACCCGCAACCCATGGTGGAGCAGTTTTAGAAAATCGCGTTCACATAGTTTTCCCTCCCCAACGATAACACCAATACCATAAATTAGACAAAGCCCACATTGGTTAACAAATGGTTGAGAACTGATTGTAATGTAGAATGGGTGTGTGTTTCAGTTTGAACGAATATAATATAATTTATTATTTTGAGAATATGTACAATTTTATAATTGTTTTCATTTGTATATTACAAAATACAGTCAATAACAATATTATAAACAAGCTTTGGATGGGACCCTTTTTAATCTGAGTGAATCGGCGCTAGTAGCGGATCCAGAAGCTGTGAATAGGGTGAAATGGAAATTGCGTTCACATAGTTTTCCCTCCTCAACAATAACACCCTTGGCATTAAATTAGACAAAGCCCACATTGTTAACAAATGGTTGAGAACTGATTGTAATGTAGTTTGTGTTTCGGTTTGAACGAATATAATAAAATTTATTATTTTGAGAATATGTACAATTTTATAATCTGACTGAATCGGGTCTAGTAGCGGATCTCGAAGCTGTGAATAGGGTGGAGTGGGGTCCAAACCTAGGGCGCCACCCACAATTCCACCCCGCAATGAATGTCAACAACATAATGGCTATAACACTGAGCATCCCAGAAGAACATAGATCGTATTGCCTATATACATGTAGTTGTTCGTCGATCGTTATCTTACCGAAAAGTAGTTTTATTGTCCCCCGCCTTTCGAAGAAAGCAGGGGACTATTAGAATGGGTTCATCCGTCCGTCCGTCACACTTTTTGGGACACAATAACTCTTCTACTAATTGAGCTAGAATGCCAAAACTTGGTGTAGGTGTTTATTAGGTCGATGCCTTGATGGAGTTCGAAGATGAGCATTTTCTGTGTAGGGTAAGCAGAGATAAGCAATTTGATTGGCTGATGCTTTGGGACGCAATAACTTTAGTTCAGATTAAGTGAGAGTGATCAAACTTGGTGTATAGTTTCATTACATCAATACCTTGTCTAAGTTCGACAATGGACATTTTCTGCTCAGGGTACAGTTTGAATGGATGGGACTTTGGAACACAATAACCCTCCTAATTGAGCAACACTGTTCACACTTGGTGTAGCTATTTATTAGGTGAATGCCTTGATGGAGTTCGAAGATGAGCATTTTCTGCTAACGGTAAGCAGAGTTAAGCAATTTGATTGGTTGATGCTTTGGGACACGATAATCATAGTTCTAAATAAGTGAGAGTGGTAAAACTTGGTGCATAGTTTCATCACATCAGTACCTTGACTAAGTTTGATAATGAAAATTTTCTGCAGAGGGTAAACAGGGCGATAAGCAATTTGATTGGTCGAGACTTTGAAACACAATAACTCTACTTCTAATTGAGGCAGAATGTTCAAACTTGGTGTAGGCGTCCATTAGGCGAATGCAATGAAATGAAATGAAATATAGTTTAACGTCCTACTGTTCTGCTCCTAACCTGGGCTAATGAAGACGGACATACGCCATACAGTGTGCTATGAGGGAAATTTTGCCCGGACAGCGGCACTACGGCATACTCTTATATCGAATTCCAACTGCCAAGGGATCTTTTACGTGCACGCCAATGTGTACACGGGACCTCGGTTTTTCGTCCCATCCGAACGACTAGACAGATTTCCTTGTCAGCCCCTCCGTCCTGCATCACTGACAAGGGAGAACCACGCCGGAAAATCTGGATGAACTTTCTCGGCCAATGCAGGGATCGAACACCCGACCTCCAGGCTAGCGAGCTAGCGTCTTACCCACTTAGCCACGTGATCCCCATTAGGCGAATGCCTTGATGTAGTTCGATAATGAACAATAAAATACATAGTCCCGATTATTTCTAGATTTAATCATGAATGAGCGTTAAGCAGCAGATCCAGTAAATATCGCAGGCTAGCGATGACATCGAGAGTTGATTATGGTCTGGATAAGTTAATTAATGTCTAATTAATAATTTAGATAAAATTTCAGGCCTAAAGGCACACTGATCCGCAGTGAATTTTAAACAGATTGGCCTAAAGGATGACCCGCAATAGGCAGATTTAGCTCTTGCATAATGTACATGTATGTTTAAGTGACAGCTACGAAACTCCGAGTATAGATTCATTATACCATTAGGCCCTACCATGACTAAGTTTGATGAGAATTTTTTGCTTAGGCTAAGGGGCGATAAGAAATTTGGTTGGTCAAGACTTAGGAACATAACAACTCTGCTTTTAATTGAGGTAGAATGTTTAAACTTGATGTTGATGTTCATTAGGTGAATGTCTTGACTGAGTTCAATAATTAACATTTCCCGCTAAAGCTAATAAGCAGAGCTAAACAATTTCTTTGACTTTGATTCTGTCTGGTAGAGAGTGATGGAACTTAGTGTATAGTTGATAATCAGTTTGATTGCTCGATACTTTTGAAAAAGATAAACATGCAATTAATTTATATGTGTCATCTATTTATTTCGGGATTTCGGCGGGGAAGATCAGCCTCACTGTTGGCTTGTTGAAGATGACATAAGTTCATGTCATATTATGATTGTTATTAATTTTGTTATTAATGTTTTGTCAACCTTAGGGGCAGTGGCTATAGCACCGAGAAACCTGAAGGTGTGTGTGTGTGGGGGGGGGGGAGTCCGAGGAAAGGGGTCTCTCCCTGAGAAAAATTTGAAAATTTGAGAAAATATCCTGTCTTTTGAGGTCATTGCTGAAAGCAAACATTTGTGAACGAGAAGATAAGAAGTGGGACAGAATCTCGAGATCTGCCTTCTTCTTATTAGTGTTTAACGTCTGCTTCCACCGCGTGTGATATCGCAGACAAATTGTCTTATTTTACTATACTCGACGTACATGCAGGGTCTTTCCTATGGGAGGAAGCTGGAGTAAACCCACGGGGTTGAGAAGGCGTCCCTATATCCAAGCCACATACTCTCCACACCATGAATCGAAACCAACAACGCACGCAAGCCAGAGGTGTCCGGTCAGCTATAAGAGGTCCAAGCGCGACACTCGTAACCACTTGGGCCATCCCAAACCCCCAAGATCTGCCTGTAAATTCCGCCTGTTTTGTGAGAGTAGACAACATTTTTACAGTCTGCGGCCCCACGCACTAGTGGTACTACTAACTGGGCGGTTCACTATAATCATGAATATGTAGTGAAGACATAGTAATCAGATCACAAAGGAGTGGAAGAATGATCACATAACGGAATGGAGCGCCGTAGGCGCGAAAAAAGTTTAGATAGCGACGCATAATATGTACTTTTATATTTCAGGACTGATCCTGAGGGGACTTTGTGTCTCCAACCCACCTTAAATCAGCGCCTAATTTGGTTCTCTTAATGTGAAATAATCAATTTGAGTGTGTAGTACTGTGGTTCGGCGTTACAAAATTAAATGTTGACGATAAAGAAGAAAAGCGGCTTTAAACCAGAAGAAGGGGTATATACATTATACTTTAATAATCAGCTAATCCTTAATATCAGTCGTGGTGTATAATCTACCCGCATGATTGAAATCGAGATAGGAGGACTATACGCGACACGTATACTTATACACGTAAACACCAATACTAGTGTCATTGATCAAATGTCTCAAAGTTAATAGTTTTGCTGTCACCACAAATGGCATGCAGTAAAATCAAAATATAAATAGTGTATGCCCTTCACGAGGCTGCACACGCTTTGCGAAACACCAGCTACTACTTTTCCAGTTTGATTTATTTCCCTATTCGGAAAGTCCACTTAATACATTGCCAAACTAATGGCTGGGTCTGACTATATTTTTCTTGTATATTAAACACAATTTAAAGATATTAAAATTTTAATCCTTAGACCACATTGCAATAATAAACAGGGGGCACAGAATGAAATCATACAATGAAACAGACAGGATACCATAATTACAAATGGCTTTACAGAATGGAATGATCATATTTGCATTTACAATAAAAGTGTCAAATATTATTTTTAAATAAAAACGGCTGGAAGGAAACAATGCATAAAAGTTGCAAAAATGCATGTAAGGCAAAATGCATAAAAACAAATTTATTATCCTGAAAAGTCGAAGTACGCCAGTATTGTGATATAACAATGACAATTTTTTTTATTGATAGGCCCAAAACATGAATGAAATAGATAACAATTGGGTAAGGTATTAACAGGTTCAAATATTTAAATAATTAGACATATATTAATTAATAAAAAATTAGATTAAATACATAAACAATTCAAATTCTACAAGCAAACTAACTACATTTTTTATTAGGATATCTATTTAAATTTTCTACTTAGAATTACTGAAAGATCTGGTAACGTGATAATAAAAATGTGAAATTTCCATAACGCCCCTCGGGGTTTCTGTTCGACCCTATTTACCTCTTTAATTTTGACCAGTTTTAATCCTTACAAATTTACTCCACAAAGCTATGTTTATAGAAAATAGTGTCAGATCTTTACACAACGAAGTCATAAATATCAGGAAAAAAATGGCGAAAATCTAATTAATTAGCACAATTCTGTGGTAAAAACTTTTGTAGATTTTAGATTCAAATAACGATTACTCTAGCTATAAACGTCTTCAATAATTACAAATCCAACATACTATAATAATGTTAAACAGAAAAAAATATAATTATTTCCTACACACTATGTTAACTCGTAAGCAATGAAATAGTTCTCATTCGAACAAAATAATTATTGTCCACCAGTGCATTCATAATGGGAGATAACTCTTTGAAACATCTTTCACATTATGTTAACACGATTCAGATGAAGTGGATCAGAAACACCTTAAAGGAATAGTTTCAGTAAAATTCAACTAAATCTAAAGCGATGTCAGTAAAATGCTTGGGTTTTCTCTCTAGGAGTTCATCTCCGTGGTTATAAAACCTATTGCTTTACTATTGTCCTATAGGCCGTGGGCATGATATTTTAACTATAAGAGCCACCATCCATTAGAAAGAAAATTATCTTTGAATATTTACATGTATAGTTATTATTTAATATTCCCATAACAAATATCAAAATTAAATTAATACTCACGTTTATGGTTTTAATAAATAAATAAATAAATAACAAACAAAATAATGTACAATCTTTAAGCCAATACTTTGCACCAAGCTGTCCGTTTTCTTTGAGAAATTATTTGGGATAAAACATATTTCTCTTAGAACTGGCATAGAATTGACACTTTCAAATGTAGATTTTTTTCTGGCGCATCATATGAATAACCTGATAAGCATAGCAATGGATTGAGCTTTTAAATGCCATGGAATGCAGAATAAAGGCAAACTTGTCTTAATAGCCAGATTCAATAAATATTGCTGTCTAATGTTTAAAAAAACAAGCCAACAGTGAGGCTGATGTCCCACGCCAAAATTCCCAAAATAAACAGATAACACATAATTTATTAAATGCACATTAATTTTCAAAAGTATCGAGTAATTATACTGATTATTTATGCTTAGTCTAGGCATAAAATGTTCACGATCAAACTCAGTCAGGTTTTGAAGTACCTGGTAGTAAAACTATACACTAAGTTTCATCACTCTCCATCAGTTAGAATCAAAGTTATCTTGTACCAAAGCATCGACCAATGAAATTGCTAAGCTCTGCTTACTTTAGCAGGAAATATTAATCATTGAACTCAATCGAGACATTCGCCTAATGAACATCTATACCTCAATTAAAAGCAGAGTTATTATGTTCAAAAGTCTTGAACAATCAAATTACCTATCGCTACTTAGACTATGCAGAAAATTCTCTTAGTCAATGTATTGATATAATGAATCTATACTCAAGAGTTTCGGCGCCCTCACCTAATTAGAACCAAAATTATCGTGTTCCAAAGTCTCAATCAATCAAATTGTTTATCTCTGCTTAAACTTGGTGGCTCATTATCGAACTTGGTCAAGGTATTGTTGTTATGAAACTCTACACCAAGTTTCATCACTCTCAATTAATGAGTTATCGTGTCCCAAAACATCAACAAATCAAACTGCTTATCTCTCGAAGGAGAGTTTTTGTGTCCCAAAAAGTGGGACAGCTAGACGCACAGGCAGACAGACGGACATACCCATTTTAATTGTCCCCTGCTTTCTTTGAATGGCGGGGGACACAAAATACCCACAGATAAAGTTAGTGGCATCAGTTATGTTACAGGAGGATTGCTGAATTTGGTATCCTTGGAAAACTTCACTGGGATTTACTCGCTTCCTGTAAACAGACAAACCCTGTCCATAAAACGCGAAAGAGTTCGCAAATTTATATTCAGGCGTTTGGGATATCGTCACATTGAAAAATCATTTGCAAATATGGTCAGAATAAAAATGAAAAACATATAAATCCCATGCTTTGAGTGATATTTTAGGTCACAGAAAGCCCACAGCATCAGCTTGAACACCAAGGCAAATTGCGTGCATAAGGCACATCTGCAATATTTGGCAAAAGATGTGCTTCTGGTGAGAATTAATACAACTATAATTATGAACTGAATAGAATGTAATTAACATTGGCAATGGTCACAACCTACACCACAAACCTTACCTGGTTTTCAGAATCAGAGAGCAATACTGACCGAACCAGGCTACAAGGCTTAACATACATTATCAACTTACAAAATGAGAACGAAAGGGAGAGAGAGTTGATGTTATGTAATATAAGTAATAAATATACAAATATGTACAAATATAAATGTATAATAAAAAGAATGACCTAAATACTTATTCGGATCAAATAGAATCGTTAATAAATTAAAACTGGGGTTATCATCCTTTCAAATCCCAGATTCAAGTCATGTGATACGATAGAAATAATGATGCATACACATCATATTTTCATATGTTCAATAACACGCGAACTGACGATTAGCTTAAAAGCTGATTATATTATCAGAAATTCTAAGCTTTTGTTAATGATATAAAATTCATAATATAGCTCATCCAATAGCCTTCTCAAGAATTGTTTCAATAATCAGCCTACGTTCTTTCAAAATTATATTAGATTTTTAATTCTTTTGCGATATTCAGTGATATTGTATTGTCGTATAACATGATCGTGTAAATATTTCTGTTTAATTCAGACCTAAATGATTAATTATACCGAGGGACTCATTCATTATGTAGGATATAATTTGACATTTAGAGTCCATATGTATGTGGAAAAATAAAGGAAATAAGCCATGTATAATTATTGTTTTGTTATAAATAATCCTAATTGTATATAGTTATTATAAAGTTTTATATACCGTACATGTATATATAAATACACATCCATCAAATAATAAATAGGCTGTATGTATAGACAGGTCAGCAGTTTAGACACAAACATAACCGAAATGAGTATGCACAGACTGACATATTTGCCCAAATAAATTCCACGCACTGTGGCATTTTTCGGTTATTATCTTTTTAATAATATAAAGATTGTTCCATGTTGCGACTCCATATATTATAAGTAGTATGAAGAACGTTGAAACATGGAATTTTATTCTGTCTTTTTTTAAAAACGTACAAAAATCTTTATTTTGTAGACATCATCATCACAAATTCTGAAAAAAAACAATACTGAAATTATTTTAAAACATTCATTTCAATAATTTACACCAAAATCAATATCAATAGAAAATCTCGATAAAGGATAAATGAAATGAAATGGGGTTTAACGTCCTACTTTTCTGCACCGACCTACTCTTATTCCGAATTCCAATCAAGGGTTCTTTTACGTGCACACCAACGTGTACACGGGACCCGGGGTTTCGTCCCATCCGAACAACTAGACACTACCCTTGTCAGGCCCTCCGTCCTGCACCACTGTCAAAATGAAATGAAATGAAATGGATTCCCACGTCCTACTCTTCTGCTCCGACTGGGCTAATGAAGACGGGCATACGCCATGCAGTGTGCTATGAGGGAAATTTTACCCGGACGGCGGCGCTCCGGGCTACTCTTAAAGGCTCAATACCACTCTTGTTGTAACAGAAAAATATGTCCCAATCTTTATTCTGGTTAACAAATTGTACTATTTTACAGTATTCCAATTAATTGATGATACAAATTTCATCTTAACACATCTAATTTAAAAAATTGGAAAAATTCAACTAAATGATTTGAAAAGCCTAACGTAAACCTTTTCAAATGTGACTTGGATTGAAAAATATTTCCGAACCCTCTGGACAAGTAAAATAGGATGTAATGGATAATTTACACAACAGGTAAGACACGAACACATCTAGTACTTAGAATAAGGCTATTTTTTATTTTCTGGAGCTGTCAAGCCAGCAAGAGTGTTATTGTCACTTTAAATCAAATTCCAACAGCCAATTGATCTTTTATATACGTGCACGCCAATGTGTACACGGGGTCTCGGTTTTTCGTACTATCCGGACGACTAGACAGCTGTCCTTGTCAGGCGAGTAGGGGTCTTTAGCAGTGGTTGGAAACCGGATGACCCGGTGAAAATCCACGAAATTGGACAGGCGACCCCACTCCTTATCGCGTACAGGCGGGGAATGGAAATCACGTCACTTGATTCAATGACATACCTTATGATCCAACGCGCACGCGTTAACCAATCGCCCCCACCCCCAATGTGATATAAGAGACATGAGAAGTGTGTCACATATGCAATAACAATGAATTAAACACAAAGTTGTTAGCAATTAACGCATTTAACAACATTTTATTCAACATCATGCCATATGCTGTAATATTAATACGTTCAGTTCTAGATTTATGAATGGCTTCTGAGATGTGCCCCGAAATAATAAATGCGTACCAAACATTTGTTTTCATGGACACAACTACATAAAAATGATTCGACAAAAAAATTCCAACTTAAAGATGCATTATGTAAGAGCTAAATCTGCCTATCGCAGCTCTTTAATTTGGCATGTCTGGGTCGAATGGGATTGAGAGAATGACTCTTATGTAACCAGTGCTTGATATATAAAAGGTAAAAGCGAATTTTTGCATTGTTATTCCTGGTAAAACAAACGTCTTGACTAATGAGAAGAAACTACTGAGATAGTAAGAAGAAAATACACAACGTGAAAAGGAAGCAAAGTAGACAATTGCAAATACTAGAGGATCAAAAGGCTATTAAAACATGAAGCAGGGGCGGATCTAGGAATTTTTAAAAGGGGGGGGGGCCGCAAAATGAGGGCACTGACCGCGGAGACGGGGCACGCCGCTGAGAGGGGGGTTTGGGGGCGGGCCCAAGAAAATTATCCGTCATTTCCTTGCATCTGTAGCCATTCCAAGAGCTATTTGGCTGATATTTTCGTCTAAGTAAACGTTCGGAAATCGTTGAAAAAGAGCCTAAAAATCGAGCAAAAAAGCCAATTATGCGACTTGAAAATTGGCAAGGCGAGCGAGGCATTATGATGGGAAAAAAGACGAATCTATTCCCTAGCCACTTCACTATTTAAGCCTTGTAACTTGTACTGTGTACTGTCCACACATGAAACAATGCTACATCAAGTTGCACTCATGCGCGTCGGTGATGGGCATGAGTGTATACGCCGCCAATTCCACAAGATGCTATCATTGATGTCTGTCTATAGTCACTCTATAGGATTAGGGCAACGTCAGCTAAACAACAAGAATTCGTTTGAAAGTGGAAGCATTAATTAGACCAGACTGGTGTGTACAGTGTTTGAGTCGATGGTCTGAGTCATTCATGACTGTACACAGTTTCATAAGAAAAATCTCTTGAACAGTTTATGAGATATGGTCCGGAATAAAAATTGTATACCCCAAACTTGTTTAATTAGGAAAGGCAAACCTGAGGTGTATACAAAGGTTTGTGAATATGTCTTGAACAGCTCTTGTGATATGCCCCGAAAACGACGGGCGGACGGGGTATATACCTCCTTAATTTCGTTCGGTGTGGGATAATTAATAAACAAGACAAACAAACCTTTAATGATATTAAGCTTGCCCCATTACGAATCTAAATAACACAATCTCAGCAAAGTAAATAAACGTTTTTTAAAACTATGTCAGTGTCAAAATAAGCCACGTGACTTTACATCCCACTCAATCACATAAAAAGAAATGGGTAAATTTGATCAAAACCAGCAATATCTACATATAAATGATGCCTGTAAGCAGTGGCAGTCAGATACCTTAAAGCATTAACATTTCCAAGCAATGAATAGCTCAATAATTTATTTATGGCCTCTTCAAGCAATTCATTTGAACTTTATTTTTAAACAACGCAATTTCTACACAGAATCTGAAATTAACATTATTTCAAACACAGGCAAGTGCTGCCAAGCTTGTAAAACTGGGATGTCCGAATTAATAGCAATTATTAGTTTGATGGCTGGTTTACATTATAGATTGGCACCAAAAAGCCTGGCAGTAAAGAATGGCACTAGCTTAATATCTAACAGACGTCTTCCTACGTTTTAGTACGCATCCGGAATTATAAATATTCCAATCTCTATCAATAGATCTTGTTTGAAAACTAGACTGGAAAAACATTATGTTCAGTTTTTACCGACTCCAGCACAATAAAAAGAAAACAAAATTGCTATCTGGTTACAAAAATTTACCCATACTCTATCCTGGTTTTTAACGAACTAAAAATATCAACAACAAAAATGCACTCAGAGATTTAACGGAACACAAAAGGGACGGTTTCGTTGTTTTTTATTCTCTAAAAATCGGGATAAACCAAATTTCTAATGAATCTGAATATTATGCGGCCTATTGGTTCAGTTGTCGCCTAAAAGAATGACCTTTATTATACAAAAGTGACCTGCCATTATGCCAGATTAACAAACTCTCAGCATGGGCTTTGCAGTTAATAGGTCACCGTATCCATACAAATAATACGTTTTAAAAAGTGCCAAGCGTTTTATGCTTCCAATATCTATTTGTCAGGCATCGCGGGTATTTTGCCCGATGATTAGGATGTCGGGAAAGTCACAGTACTTGAGACATGTGTATTTACTAAAGAAATACTCCAAATAGATTCTAATGGAGACCGATACAATAAAAAAAAACCCTGGGCAAAACGATTGACCAATCTCCAACGTATACGTTTACGTTTTGGTTTATAAATTAAAGAGGTGGCAGAGTTTGGGAGGTTTTTGTCGGTTGGGGTTCAAAAATATTCCTATTTAACGTGATTTGACTATCCCGTTACATCGTGAATGTTCAGACGACAAAATTAAGCTGGCTTAAAGGTCGACAGCGTTTTTAATCCACAACATAATCGTTGTTGATACGTACGTTTTTCTTGTAAAATACAATGCTAGGTTGTTCGTTAATGAAGATACCATATCCAATCATTTTGAATATGTTTTTCCAAATTAATTATGTTTATTTTCTTGTTGAGCTTGATAATGCCTCTTTAAAATCCAAGTAGGCATTTGACAAACATCACCATTTTGTAAAGATTTTAGAGACGGTGAAAATGAAAATTCCAGAATTAAAAACGATATTTATGAGAACTATATTTCCTGTATCGAATTTAGAGGGTAGTTTTATTGTGTAATACACATGCCCGGAGACCCAAGAAGTGTTACTGTGATAGGGAGCACAATATCTATTTTATAATTCAATTCAAAAGACGGCTACAACTTGATACCTTTTATCATTTTATTGGATTCACATAACTAGCTATTTTTGTCAATGTTGAGAACCGAATGAAATTAATAGAGTTGTATATATAAAAAAAAACGGCCCGGCTATCGGGCATGTCTGAACTATAGACGGATAAAATTAATTTGTTCCCTTTTACCATCAGTTATAATATGTTCGCTGTTGTGATGCTCTTGGGTCTCGTTTCTGTTTTGTTCAATAGAGTCATCATCACACGACACGTCTCTTATAGTCCCGATTCATCAGTTTAACATGAGTTAGTGAAAATAAGCCTTTGCCTCAAATTTTTAATATTCGAGTACACATTTTCTTTTATATTATATTGAGTTTTCCATTACTGTGTTTTTGATATGCAGAATATATATCGAAGATTGACATAACAATTGACCAAATCGACTACAAACTAAAAAGTTTTGCACAAAATAGTGAAGCTGTAGACGAAAGGAATCTGGACAATCTATGTTTAGTATAGCTAGTTCTAGTTTACTAGGATTGTCTTTTACTATTAATCAGTGTGTGTGAGTTAGTTGTATTTTACGTCCGCTTCCACCGAGGTGATATCGCAGACAAACTATTATTAATCAGCGTGGTGTTAACCTAATATAGGTATCAACAGGCTGACTTGATGTATATTTGTGACCTGTAGTAAATAATACAAAGGTCTTAAAAACCCTGCGATTTTCAACTAGTTTAAAAATAAGCGTCTGAACGGGCTAAAAGAGGGCATTTAGTATAAACTGAAGAAACTCGACACAGACAACTATTTGATTGGGATATGTTACCTATATTAAACCACAACGGCTATTAATTACACCGAGAAATCAAGCTAATTGATACCAACATGACCACATACCTTCATAATTAACCTGTCCATCCCCATCTATATCAGCTTCTCGAATCATTTCATCCACTTCTTCATCGGTGAGTTTTTCACCTAGATTTATCATAACATGCCTTAATTCGGCCGCACTTATGAAACCGTTACCGTCTTTATCAAATACTTTAAATGCTTCTTTAAGTTCTTCATCGGAATCAACCGTGTTCATTTTTCGAGCCATCATCGTCAAAAATTCGGGGAAATCTATCGTACCATTACCTGCAAAAAACAAAATCCTATTAAATATATTATATTACATGTACTTACATGGCAGTTTTGGTTTAATAGTTTCTCGAGCTTGAATGTGGCTTTAATAAGTTTTTTTGCTTCACTAATTTAAAAAATCTGTCCCAGGTTTGAACATTCTGCCTCAATTAGACGGACTGACGGACCGACGGACCGGCGGAGACGGACGACCCCATTTCTTCGAATAGCGTGGGACAAGATTTATGTTTTACAATTATTGAAAATCCAACCAATGCTCTACTTGGACTAATGTAATTTTCATGAGCCATTCGTTAAACTTGAAGGACACTAAACAATTTGTACATCTCGTAAATTAAACGTTAAAACGCACACGTCTCTTGGCTTAGCAGATTTCTCTCAAATTTTGTACAATCCTATTTGAACCTATTTCAAGGTGCATTTTTCGTGCTCTCCAAATTGGGAAAACTAGGTCAGATGATTATCCTGGTGAAGCTGGGGGTAAATGGCCTTTCCAGTAACTAAACTCCATAGTACTGACCCCGGAAACAACGGAAATAGCTAAGCTAAAATGCAGTTAATTTAACGATTGAACAGTTGAACAAAGTAAAGGCGTTGAATTAGTCCATGTACTTTTCCATTGATATAAAAAACGAACAGACAAGTTTTGAACTTCAAAGAGAATACTTTACGTTAGAAGCACTCAACTGTCATTAGATATTAAAATAAATGACTTTTTGATAAAATAACCGTTTATTGTTGGGCTTGATAACATATGTAAAGCGTTTACGCTTCACACACATTGCGCAATACAAACAAGAAAAGAGAGAAACGAGTTATTGTATTCTGGTCTGACATTGGGTCAAGGAGTTCCATCAATTAATTTCACTCGCTGTACAATCGGAATATAACAGCATGATCTATGATGAAAAGATCATTATGAAGGAAACGAAACCATAATCAATTTACATATATTACAGACCTGTGGTCTGGATCAGGACAAAAATGGGGAAATTGCATTTAGGAAATCCTCACTCTCAAGAAACCGATGTATACATAAACTTGATCAATTATCATAATTTACTTGCAATATAAAACAAAAGGAATGAAATAAAATGAAATAGGGTTTATCGCCTTCCTGTTTTGCTCCTACTAAAAATGAAATGCAATGGAAAAGAAATAAGATGGGGCTTAAAGTCCTTATAATGTTCTGAGTGTGCAATGAGGAAAATTTTGCCCGGACAGCGGCACTATAGCCTACTCTTATATCGAATTCCAACTGCCAAGGGTTCTTTTACGTGCGCGCAAATGAGTAGCCGGGACCAGTTTTTCGTCCCATCGAACGACTAGACAGCTGTTCTTGTCTGGCTATCCGCCCTGCACCACTGATAGGGGAAAAACGCCAGAAATTCCCGATGAACATTCTCGGTTTACACCGGGATCGAACCTCCAGACTAGAGAATTAGCGTCTTAAAATCTAATGGTGTTTAACGTTCTACTATTCTTCTCCGACTGGGCTAATGAAGACCGGCACATGCCATACATTGTGCTGTGGGGGAAAGTTTACCCAGACAGTTGTTGTGCACGTGGGACCTCGGTTATTCGACACACCCGAACGACTAATCCCGATGAACATTTTCGGCTTACACCGGGATCGAACCTCCAGACTAGAGAACTAGCGTCTTAAAATCTAAAGCTAATGAAGACCGGCACACGGCATACATTGTGCTGTGGGGGAAAGTTTAGCCAGACAGTTTGTTGTGCACGTGGGACCTCGGTTATTCGACACCTCCGAACGACTACACGTTGTCCCTAGAAGCAAAAAGAAAGGTTGAGATAATTTTGGAAACAAACGTGATAGACTTCATCGTTTAATTCTTGTCTAAAAACTTCGGACCATAGCGTTTCTTAGGCAGTCTTCAAGAATCCACCCTTTGACACCGTCATGAAACTATTATGCTACATAATATATTACAAAGAGAATAAATCAGAAATAATTTTGTGACCGAGATCAACCCAGACTGTCATTATATTGAGCTAACACGCAATACCGGCATCATTCTATTATAAAGTGTCTCTATGGAAACTGAGAATATCTTATCTTTAAATACAATTTACAGGCAATATTTGATGTTAGCATCTAAAATGCTTACTCATTCCTGAACAGCTAATGTATCATTCGCGATAAAGATACTTCAATGGAATATTTTTTTGACAATTTGCAATGACTATCCGCCATTATGTAGGCCTAGCAAACTTGCAATGGACGGACGGTGTAATGCACACGCAAAATATCAACGATAGCCTCAGCAATCGTAGTTTCTTTAGGAACGGTCTCTGATCGGACGCTATTCTCTGACTGCTCCTGTTCATCGCTATTAAACTGCAATATGAAAATACCGCTCTACCCACCACCTCTGGCCTAGGGCTATTTTGGAATACTACCTACTAAGTTTCACTGTGATTCTTCTTTTTTCGCCAAAAGGTATCATGCCACATCTGACACAAAATTATAATAATTCAACACTATTTTCAAGTAGCATTTTGCGATTGAGCCACGAACCCGCGATCTCCGGTCTGCGCAAATGCGAGTTTCATAATAGCGGACCAATTCAAAAATATTTTGTTTATTTTTTTAAATCGCAAATTATAATAATTCAACACTATTTTCAAGTAGAATTTTGCGATTCAGCCACAAACCCGCGCGATCTACGGTCTGCGCAAAACCGAGTTTCATAATGGCAGACCAATTCAAACGTATCTTGTTTATGTTTTTGAATCGCAAATTTCCACTTAAAAATAGTGTTGAATTATAATAAATTTGTGTCAGATGTGCGAGAAATGATTCCTGTTGACGAAAAAAGAAGAATCACAGTAAATTTTAGAAGGTAAGGATTCCAAAATAGCCTTAGAACAGAGGTAGGAATAGAGCGGTATTTTCATATATGGCAGTTTAATACTAAAACAGGAACGGTCTGAGGACAGCGTCCGATCAGAGACCGTTCCTAAAGAAACTACATAGTAATCGATGCTAGGTTATTTTATTTATTGTAATCTTCCTAGTCTTAAAATCCACAATTTCTTTGTCATTACTACTCACGGGGGTGCAATGAATTATACTCCATACTTTCAGAAACTAGAATTCGCCTATGGTGTCACCCGGGGCTTCAAATTGAACAAATATCCATTGCAAGAGAACATAAAGGAACACCTACAAATATAACACGGGGCTACTACAACTTGACAACGTCAAGTGAATATATATTTGATATTTATCTGAAGTAAATAATGCATATATTTTTTAACCGCTCGGCATAGTCCCATCTCAAGGGGGAATGATTTCCATTAAACAACCGTGTATTAACATCGATAACACGACGATAGTGGGTCTAGTAATATATTAGATAAACCCTCCAAGAACCCTGGGAATTCAATCTTTGGCATCTGTTTGATTCCGGTTCACAGACTTCCCATCATCGCAAACCATTAAACAATTCACTTCCGCGATTATAGAATTCGTTCAAACAAAGAATTATTCATATACCAAGTCTATAATCAACTCTCTGGACCAGATGGCCGAGATATAAATGGAATTGAACACCCGCGAGATTTAAAAACGTTACGGTAAAATGGATAATCGAAACCAAGTCTCGGTTGACCAGAACCGTTGTTAAGATAATAAACGATCTGCCCTTCATCTACAAACAGTCATAACTACAGCCAGAATAAAATAACTATTATAGCAAGAACGGTCACCTCTTTAACAAAATCTTACATAATGCATCTTTAAGCATAATATCCGAGTAAGAATGGAGCTCATTTACTTAAACATACATTAAGCATGGGCTAAACCTGCCTATTGCAGGTCTTTCTTCAGGCCTGAAATGTTATCTAAATTATTAATTAGACATTAATTAACTTATCCAGACCATATCAACTCTCGATGTCATCGCTAGACTGCGATATTTACTTGATTAGGATCCGATCTGCTGCTCAACGATCATTCATGAATAAATCAAGAAATGGATAATCGAGACTATGTGTTTTATCGTACCTACTTTATGTAATGATTATTGAGGCTAGGCCCTAAATTCAATCGCTAGATTCTCGGTTCAGAGTGAAATTTGTCAGCAAATTCCTATTACATTATCTAGTTTTTAACTATTACAGTGAGAACTGCCAGCTATTTATCTAATATCCTATAATGTATCTTTAAATCATTATCGGGTAACATATCGCTTGATTTGATTACGTGTCCTAGATATCAGGGATTAGGATAACAATGTTATAAGGGTATCTAAGTTTCCCTCAAGGCTTCAAATTCAAACAACATTTCATACTTCTCAATGCCAATGTCCAAAACGATTTTATACAAATGCACAGGGTACCACGAGTCTTAGAATGCCGTGTCTTCAAGGTTATTACCCACCTAAAAACCTAAAACTCGCCCGGGGTGGGTGTGGTTGTACAGAATGGCAGTTAACAACAAAGCATGGTTTCACGAAGATGGAAACCAAACGATCACATAAATTTTACAATCTGTATTCAGGCAATATGTCCTACAAGTAATTATAAATCAAGCTGTTTGCCAAGGGTATTTCCCCAGGGACAGTAACCTCAGTCGTGTCTCGTTCATAGAATTTGCAAGTCAGTGCAGTCGTTTATCCCATTGTATATCAATTACAAAGCATGGGAGAAAACTGAGGACACGTGATGACGGTTCTTGCTTCAGCTCTAAAGAGTAACCGAGAATAATTCACGATAGTATAAACTTATAAGGTGTATATTATTATATAGGTATTTAAATTTAAAAAAACCCAACATATTATCAAGTTATAAATTAAACCATATAGATACATTTTTAAACTATTGTAGTTTACATGAAGAAATTTATCATAACTCTATAACCCCGTTTACATTACAAATTTTAAGCGTGCCAGGAACGGTACCTGGCACGGCACGGTTAATTTTTTTGTAGTGTAAATGGGTCAAACATAAGCGTGCCGTACTGAGTACCGTGCCAATCCGGCTCACTGAAATGAGGTGGTCTCGGCACGGTACCAGGCGCGGCGCGGTTAAATTTTCTTAGTGTAAACGCTATCCGGTCTGAGCACGGTTTCAGTACGGATAACTGCGCATGCACGAAACGAACCTTGACCTTTTCCCACGCAAACTTTGACAGTTCTGTCATCAGTTCTGTCAAAATGGCTGCTCAAACTAAATCAACCATCATAATTGTTTTCATCTGGGTAATTTGTATAGGGACTGAAATTAACTATTTTGCGAAGAGTTCCACATTTGGCGAGCTGAGACCGGTTATTTTAGAGTGATGTAAACGGGTCAATTTCTTGAAATTTATCGCGGCCTGGTACCGTACCCAGAACGGCACGCTTATCACGGCCAAGTGTAAACGGGGCTCAAGACTCGTAAGGAGCGTATTGATTGATGCAAGTAGAGAGCTGGTCGTTAAAGAGGATGGTCCACCTATTTCTGTATTCTAACATAGATAAGTAAGGCAGCTACTTGAAGATTCAACCTCTGAAAACTTTCCCGGTGCAATTAAAGATTGCGTCCATGCATTCCGCATTCCAAACGCAAAGTTTGCCCGATTTACTAAAATCATGGTCACCCTGAGCAGCCCCATTTTATTAACCTACCGTCTGCATCTACTTCATTTATCATATCTTGTAATTCAGCCTCCGTTGGGTTTTGACCTAATGACCGCATTACAGTTCCTAATTCTTTGGTGGTAATCGTTCCGTCGCCATCTTTATCAAATAAGCTGAACGCCTCTTTAAATTCTGTAAATAAATGTATAGAGTTCTTAGACATTCTTATGTGTTCCGAAAAAATCATAAACAATGGCAGTCGTGTGGTTATCTTACTTGGGTAGCTTAAACAACCAACGAAAACGCTGCTGCCCCATTCACAGAAAGACATTCTCCATTGCTCTTTTTCTAAACGCAGTGTAGGTAGAATCAGAATCATAAATACCAACGAAACGGTAAAAGATTAATTATTTCACAGCATAGGGAAAGTGCAATTAAAGTACAAAACAAATCAAAAGGTGTAAAATGTTGACGCACTATTAATTTAGAATCAATTCCATTGTCTTTTGTGTGTGTGTTGGGGTGGGGGGGGGGGGGGGTAAATAGAGTGGGGACAACAATCTGTAGCTCTCTCAGGGAGTCTCAAAAATTCAAAAATGGTTCACCATTTCTGCGAGCGAGTTGAAGATTGAACAGTCCATATGCTGATTACACTATTTTGCCTGATTACACTATTTTGCCTATACCGTTTTTTTAGGACTTCGAATTTTGTCTATTGGTTTGGATTGTTCGTACTTGGTTTTATTTTATACAGTAAGCGACAAAAACTAAATGATCCTCAAGAAATAATTGTCGAGAATGTACACGAAAAGAAAATAAACCTAACATGAAATATGGTTAATGTGATCGATTACGCTTCCAGATAGGAATACAGTACAAATACTATCTTTGAGGTTATAATATGATTTCATCTTTAGACATATTACATGATCCAATGTTCTTATTACATCTAAATAAGTCAACACTATCTTGTTAACTAACATCTGAAAGTGGTTTTATCTATTTTCAACTAATGGGACTAGGTTATGAATGATAGCATAATCAGCTATATACATGTAGGAAAATCGATGATATAACTTTCATCTATCAATACGCTTCATTGATAAGAAAACCATAAAGTTAAAGTGGTGTAATTTTGACGTCTTACTTCCTGTCCCATGGGTATTTTTTTTTATGTCCTAAACAATTTATTGCCGGTACAATTGTCTAGTTCGGATAATCAGTTTATGTAATGGAAGTGGTACTATTCATACATATCTTTTTACTTACATACTAATGCCCTGGTTATGTATTATGATCCTAGATTTAAACTGACAAACCTTTTTACAAAATAAAACTCGACAAATACAACTGTTCAAATTTATAAACCCAATATTATTCATGCAGAAATATTTTCATTTTAAAATACAAAGACTGATATCAAAATGGTTACATCTAGTATTAAGTGTGTACAGTACACAATAAATCTGCAGGGAATATTTTATAAAATGTATAATATCTCCCATTACTCATCAACCGCTGATAAATATAAGTACAGCACATAAAATACATAATGGACATATAATTTTCTTCCCGGTAGAAATAAAATGGAGAGAAGCAAGTCTCTAATGAATAAAACAATTTCCCTAATTAAATAAGTCATTTTTGATCTGATGACCCTCGGGGATGAAACGACTATGAGTAATATCTGGTACATATTTCTTTGTTTATACTGAAAAGCAAAAACGAGGTTGTGCTCTCTATTTTATCCAGTAAATTCAACACAAAATAGGTACTAACATTTTTTTTTTTTTTTTTTGTTAAAAATACATTAGTTAAGATTTTAATAAAGAGTTGGCATTCTTGATATAGCAGTTGAAAAATAGATGATAAAAAAGAGAAAATATTGAAAACTCAGTCAAATTACTTTATACTGAACGAAGTTATCACAGTTGGAAGTGCGAACTAGAAATTGGCATCAACAATCCTTGTACCGTTTCCGAGAATTGCCGATCGTTTGATTGACAGACGACAACTCCGCCTACATATTCTCCATTCTCAAGTAACATTTTCAATGCCTACGGTTAGTGATTAACGGTAAATGTTTGTTTGGTCAGCCATTTAATGATTGAATTATTAAATGGACGACTGTTGAAATCCAAGCTGTTATCCAATCTATCCGAGGATCTAAAGAGTTGATTTTGGGCTTGTTATGTAAATAAAAGTCTAATTTATAATTTCTATAGCACCTGAAGCCTATACAAAGACTTGCAATAGGCATATTTAGCTCTTAACTAATGTATCTTTAAGACACTGGATTTTCCCGGGTTGGAATAATGGCGTTGGTCGGAAATATCTTCTGGATTTATCAAACTCGCTTTCATTTTGTCTGTGGTAGCGCCGCCGGGGCTAACAAATTAAATTTGTCTAGTCGTTCGGAAGTGACCATACACCGAGATTCTTTGAACATTAGTAGTCCGCTATTGATGAACCTCTTACAAATACGGCAGAATACAAGCCGGAAGATTTACTACCGTAGAGAAATTTTGGTTTTCTTTTCATAATTAAACGTTAAAGGGGTATTATGTAAGATTTAGATAAAATAGATAATGCAAAATGAATATATTGAAATTTCATTCAATTACTTTATTTTGAGCGAAGTTATCAATAGTTGTAGTTTTGACAAGATCTGTGCATTGATCGTATAACCGTGCTGGTCAAATCGAGTCTTAGCCTCGCTCTTCACTTTTAAATTGAATCATTAAATGGCCGAACTGTTTTAATCTACTTAAAATCGGTGCCATCCGATACCATCGAGTGTTGCTTAGAGTCTTGTCATATTAATAAATGTCTAATTAATAGTTTATATATCATTTAAGGTCCAAAGAAAGACCTGCAATGGGCAGATTTAGCTCTTGCACCATGCCGGTTTAATTCATGTATAATTAATAATCTATATAACATTTAAGGTCCAAAGAAAGATCTGCAATAGACAGATTAACCTAATGCCTGTTTAAATAATCAGCTTGAGAATATTTAAGCGTGGATTAAGTCATAACAAATTCGATATTGTCTGCGAAATGCAAATGACGATAAGCAGCTTTAAGATGGTAAATAAAAAGTCCTGAGACATTGAATCTAATCACGATATCAATTATGTGAGACTTATGGCTTATTTCGTCGTTTCTTCTGGGAATAGAATTAATCAAAATGCACCAGTACATGAATTATTATATTGTGGTATACAACAATTTAAACTATCCCTCAATAATTATTGTTAATCTAAATAAACACAGACTTGATTGTTTACTTGGACTGTTTGATATAAACATGTAGAGGTTGTCAACAATAATAGATTGATCTAACCACTCATTTATAGAGCTTCAAAGACAGTTTATAACGTGCAAGTGATACAACGATAAATTATCCTGTTCAGTGTTCAACCTTGCGTGAAATTATGAACTGTGTATGTCTATATGGAATTCATAAATCGATACGATGATAGACTATATGGTCACACAAAACAGTGGCCAATTATGAAAATGACATCAATTATAAAGTAATGTAGAAAATGATATCCAACCTGCGCCGCTCACGTGCACCTCGGGAGGGTTGTGTACGTATAATCACCATGGTAACGCGATAAAATGACATTAATTGTGTGTAAAGATTGCTATGACATAACTGGTTATGGGAATTGAAAATAGTAAACGGCAGACGATGTGTAGGAAATGAAATGAAATGGGTTTAACGTCCCACTGTTCTGCTCCGACTGGATACGCCATACAGTGAGCTACGAGGGGAATGTGCACGGACAGCGGCGCAACGGCCTACTCTTATATCGAATTCGAACTGCCAATGGATCTTTGACGTGCACGCCTATGTGTACACGGGAACTCGTTTTTCGTACCATCCGAACGACTATACGTGGTCTCTTGCCAGGTCCTCGTTCTTGAACCACTGACACGGAAGAACCACGTCGGAAAATCCCAAGGAACTTTCTCGGCCAACGCAGGGATCTAACACGGGACCTTCAGGTTAGCGAGCCAATGTCTTACTCACTGAGCCACCGTGGCTCCCATGTGTAGGAGGGGAAAGCGCAGTAGACGAACGTTGAAACCAATAAGATCAACACAGTGACCTAAAGGGCCGCGGCGTTTCCACCTTATCTTCATCTTATTACATCTTCAAGGGATCTTGTACGTGCACGCCAGAGTATACACAGGACCTCGATTTTTCGTCCCACCGAACGAATAAACGATGTTACTTGCCAGGCCCTTCGTCCAGCTCGACCGACAAGAAAATATACTTTGACAAATCTTGTAGTTTCTCGGCTATTACTCACCAAGCCACCGTGGCCCCCGAAATCAAACAGAACAATTATTTTTAAGTCACAACATTTGACCTTAAAGTAGCCAAGTCTTTAACTCGGTATTATCCACAGTCTCCGACATTGCAAACACGACTTATTGGTCAGTTTAAATCAAAATTGATTTTGTTATCTTACCGTGAAAAGATGGGCTTCTGGTATCCAATACTTATTACACAATGAAAATTTGTTATGAAGTGACTGGATGAACGAGGCTAAACATATCCCACAAGGGAAGACGAGACTGGATAAACTGCTCTAAATTACTTCAGGCTGGTTCCTACAGCACTGCGCTATTCTGACTTCAATATAATCATAGAAATATATGCAAGTCAGAAAAAGGAGTGACGTAGGAGCGAGTCTGACGTATTAGAGCAGGTTATCCAGTCTAAAAGGAAGACTACCGGAGTAGATTGGAATAACCAGACGCCAAAGACTGCCATTCAATTTGCACTTTTCACATATTTCGCCGAACATAACTGATTAGAAATTACAGTAAAAACAGAAGCGATTGAATATAAATCAGTTTATATACATTCATATTACATTATTTTATGAGTTGCGACCCATTTGTGTCAATTTCTAGGTGCCAAAGTCTAGCGAGTTAGCTCCTTTAACACAACAATAACTGGGTGATTTGGGGACTAACATAATAATATTGGTATAATTTTATTTCTATAATTCGCCCGCGTCCATGGGATTTTTATCAATCGGGTAAACGAAAATACCAGGAGAAAACCCACGATGTTAGGCAGGCGATCTTACTGACGTACAAGCTATGGATCCAAACCATGTATTACATAGATAACAAGCGAGATGGTTAGACTACTCGGCCACCAGATAA